GCGCGGGGCGCGGTGCGGGGCGTGCAGGAGCACGGCCCCAAGGTCCGGCAGGAGCAGGGCCTGGCCCGGCGGGCGCAGCAGGAGCGCGGCGGGGGGCGGCGGGACGCGGCGAGCCCCCCGGCCCGTGCCCGCTGGTGGGTGCGGAGGGGCCGGCAGGAGGAGGGAGAGGCCCGGGGCGGAGTGCAGGAGGAGGGCGAGCTCTACCCGGGGGAGCAGGAGCACCCCGGCGGCAACCCCGGCACGCGGACCCCGGCACACCGCCTGAGCCGCAGGAGGTCCGCCCGGGTGTGAGGCCGCACCCCGTGCCCGGTGCCCGCTGCCCCGGGGGTGATCCCAGCCGCGTCCCGGACGTCCCCGGCGTCGATCGTCGCACCCCGCCCCGGCAGGTGTGCGGGCTCGTCTCGCCTGGCATGCCGGCTGTCTGGAGTGCCGCCGTGCCCGTCCTCGCCCTCCGGTGACGCCGCAGACTCGGCGCAGGATGCGGTGGCAGTGGCGGTGAGCGCACAGGTAAGGAACGAGGCGCGACCCCATGGCTGGGGGTGTGCGAGGGGCAGGGGGGCTCAGGGCTTGGCACGGTGCTGCTGCCCGGTTGACAGCTGAGTGTGCCGGTGTGTTGGCACCGTGCCCCGCACTGCTGCGAGCTGCGGTGCTTCCCTCGTGCCCAAGCACTGCGGGACTGCTCAGTCGCGGCCGGCAGCAGGCCCGACCTCCTGCTCCAGCTGCCAGGGCACAGCAGGGTCTGCTGTGAGTGGGTGCCTGGTGCCCTTGAACTCTCCTAAACCACAGCGGAAGCTGGGGGAAGTTTTTTTTTTTTTTTTTTCCCCTGGAGAAAAGGCAGCTTTGCTCTTCCTCTTCCCTGGGCTCGTGGGAGCTGTGGCACTGAACAGAGGATCCTTGTCCTCCGGGGCCAGCGCCGCGCCTCGGGTGTTGTACTGCGGCCGAAACCCCGGGCAGCAGTGAGGTGCACAGAACCTCTGACCTCTGGCCCAGCATGCAGCATCGTGGCTGTGTCCAGCCGTGTTGTGGCAGTTTTTCTCTGAACAGTCCAGGACCGTTTGCAACTCTTGGTCTTTGTTGGTTTTGCTTTTTTAAATAAAAGTTTTAAGTTAAACTTGGTAAGGTGGTGCTGACAGTCCAGACAAGGATCCCACCATGCCAGGCAAATCCTGCTCAGCTTCTCACAGTATGATTAGATCTCTTACCCACTCTGAAGCAGCAGCTGGGAAGGAGGTTTGGAGGTGGCCAGAGGAGCCCAGGCAGGGACAGTGTCTCTGGCAGCAGTGCTGGGGCTGGGCTGTCTGGGCAGGACAGGCTGGGGCAGAGCCTGGCGCTGGCACTTCCCCACGCCCTCACCTCCCTGGGGCCGCTTGGTGCAGCGGGTACACCAGGATGTCCCAGTGCTGCTGGGCTCCAGCACCGGCTCAACACCTTACAAAGGGTGTCCCTCTTGCCAGGTACTGTGGGCTCTGGAGGTTGTGCATTCTCCCCTCTTACTCAGCTGTTCATTGAGCTGGCTCAGGGAAAAGCTTTCAACAAAATTTTTGGGCTATGGGCTTTGCAAAAGTCTCCTAGGAACAGGGCCTGCCTTGTGAAGTGTCTTTGAGCAGGTCGGTGCTACCGGGCACCCCTTTAGGGAGAGGGTCCAGGACAGACCCTGGGTGCTGCGCTCCCATGCTCAGCTGCAGCCCTGCTCCCACGGCCAGCCCTGAGCCCACAGGTGCCCGCGGGGAGTGGGGGGGTAGAAGCAGCTTCTGCATCCCCCGTCGGGCCGCGCCGAGGCCTGGGGGTGCAGGGTGGGAGCTGTGCAACCTGTTACCAGCCCCTGGAGCTACCGGAGCCTCCTTAGCCAGGTATTTGTTAGTGCAGGGTGGGGTGTAGTGGGTATGGCTGGGGGGGCTGGCGATGCCTTCCTCCTCCTCAGGCAGCTGCCAGCCTGCTGTCCCGCTGTGACTCAGCCTCCCCGGGGCAAGGGGGGCCCTCATAAGCAGAGGAGCAGCCCCCACAGAACCATGAACTACTGTGAGTTAGTAACCGAGCCCCGTCCTAACTGCAGGCTAGACTTGACACCATGCCTTAGTTTCCCCCCAAGAAGTCCCATCCTGCCCATGGAGCCACCTGGGTTTTGCCTTCAGTTGTGTCCATGAGGGATGGTAGCTGTCAGGGGCAGAGCATCCTGGGGAGCACTGCCCACTTGCATGGGTTTTGGGGGACAGGAGGAGGTTCTGCTTCATGCAGACTGTGCCAGGATAGGAAGACTTAGGAGAAATGTCTTGTTCCATCCCTTTGCTGAGCAGCCCTGGGGGAGGGCCACTACTCCCACTGCAGCCTGGCTAATTAGGGAGCTGTCAGTTAGTGCTAATGACTGGCAAATACTGAATGGTCTGGCTAGGATGCTGTGCTGCTCTGATGCTGGGGAACTGCAGGGATTGAGCCTTCATCCCCCCCTTCCGGCTCTAGGGGTCCCAGCTCACTGCTCCCAGCCCAAAGGGGAGATGCTGCTGTGTGGATGTGGCTTTGTGTCAGTCTGGCCTGAGACCTGACAAACTCGTTTTGTGCCAGCTGCAGCCTGGCCCAAGGACACATCCTGTACTGGGGTGGAGATGGGGGTACTGCTGGCAGCACCCCAGGGGTGGAGGAGCAGGTTGGAGCAGGGCTGGGGGTGAGTCCTGGTGCCCCCCTTCCCTGGCAGGACTGGGGGCAAAGCTCTCCTGGGGGGGGCAGGTCCACAGAGGCTCTTCCAACTGGCTTGGCAGAGCAGGTCCTCACTCTGGATGCAGAGACACTTCCCATACCTTAGCCCCCAAGAAGTCTGGAGTGTGTGGGGTAGATAGATGGGGGTGCCAGGCAGGGATGCCCATTCTGAGTTCTCCCACTTTGCCCCAGGGGGATCCTGTGACCAGTGTCACCTGAGCCCTGACGTTTTGCCACCTCGCGCACTGCCCAGTTCACTGTGACTGGCTGGCACTGCTAAGGGATCCCCACAGTGCTGTCCCTGTGGCCCAGGTGAGATCACTGGGGGGGTCTGGCAGGCACAAACGAGCCTTGCATCGGGGCAGGGTGACAGGATCCCTACAGTGGCAGTGACACCAGGGCTCAGTGATGCCAAGCCTGCTGCCCTCTCCACCTCCCCAGCAATGAGGGTGCCAGGGACTATTGCTTTGTGTGTTTGTCCCCCAAAACACTGCACTGTGACCCTGCCTTGGTGGGAGAGCTTGGGGCTGAGGTGAGGATCAGTTATGGGTCAGTAATTGCTGCCCATGCCAGCGACTGGGAGGTGCAAGACAAGCTAAGCCCGCCCCAGCTCGACCTGCGGAGCGGATTTAGCAGAGGAAAGAGGCTTAGGGAGGGGATTGGGGCTGTGCTGGGATGGGGGGGCCCCCCACGTGCCTGTGCCTTTCCTTCCCACACATCCACTGCTGCAGGCAGGGGCTCAGAGCCGGGGATGCTCTGTGCTGGGGGACAGGGTCAGGCCATGGGGCCAGGCTCTGGGAGCCCAGAGATGGCAGCGAGGAGGAACCTGGCAGCCCGGCCTCCCCGGCCACCCCTGCCACAGGGGTCACCAGCCCTCCTTGCTGGCCCCCCGAGACCTCCTGCTTGCTCCATCCAGCCAACCAAGCAGCATCAGGTGCCAGCACCGAGAGAGGTAAAGCACCCACTGGTATGGGGGTACATGGGGTGGCACAGTCCAGTGAGGGGCTGGGGACAGTCCCCAGGGAGCTGGGTGGCAGCAGCATCCCTCAGATGGGCAGGATGCAGGCGGCAGCCCTGCCTCTGGTGGGAGCAGGGTGTGTTTGTACGCGTGGATGTGTGTGTGTGTCTGCACACCTGCGCTGTGGCAGCCCGGCTGGGGAGTGTGTCACCACAATTTGGGGCCGCCCTCGGGGCCCTGCCAGGGCTGAACAAGCCAGCCCGGGGTGACGGTGCGGCTGCCCTGCTGCCGCCGCAGTCAGTGAGATCACTTCCAGGCGACACAGCTGCCAGGAAGGTGGCAGGA